GAATGTCAGATAAGGTGCAGCAGAAAAAAGAAGCCTCGTCGGAAGAAGGTGAAACAGCGGTGCAGCAGAGCTTCAGACCTTGGAACAATGGCGATTAGGAAAGTAAAGAGATAGAAAAAAGTTTGAACAAAGACGATGTAAAGTGAAAAAGACGAAAGGAGAAGAATTTTTGTCAAAACTCGAAACGGGCGCATTAATATATATGGTAATAATGTGCCCCTAAAACAACGTGTTGCCGTCAGCACGGGCACACAGGCGTAAAGACAATTTACAATGCGTATCAAGTACGATCCAGTAAAGGGGAAGACATGTAGCTAAAAACGGTTGGTTATTGTGTACGATAGCTCATACAGCGTGAAGGAGTTCTCTTGGAAATTCATGTTCTTTAAAAAAGACATGTCAGCCTAAATATGAAATGATTCGGCTAAAAGAAATTTAGAGCCGACGTACTAGAAGGAAGTTCTGGTATAGGTTTCATCACCTCAGATTGCGAGGTAATAGAAACTAGAGGCAGTTGTGGGGATATATTCTCTGAGTATCAACACGTGGCCAAGGTGACGCCGATGGTGGTCCAGCCGAGGTGGCCAACGTGTCCGGTCGTGATGCCGAGTTATCTCGGCTGGGTCGAGGTTACCTTTCGAAGATATGGAATCCGAGTAAGCGGATAAGGCACAAGAGTCCTAGAATGAAGAAGGATCTCAACTTAGATAAGGATAAGCTCTTAGAAGAGTTTATCTTTATCCGTTGGAGAGTCCAGGATTGAGGCATTGTAGCTAAAAGTCCATGAAGCTAGGCTTCTATTAGGGTTAAGGATTGAGTTGGCTATAAAAGAGAGGCACCCTATGGGTCTGAGGTACGTAATTTATATTCTGAACATGAGATGTAGTACTACTATTGATTATCTTGAGATTACTGACTTGATCGTCGGAGTGCCCCCGGGTGGACAACGCACCGCCGAACTTCTCTTTTGTTGTAGGTCAGTCAGGTGCTACTAATTCTGCAGTGCTCTCCAGCTGAATACTGAGTTTGGCAGTGTGGAAGAAATTCAACTCACACATGTCACTCCTGCTACCTTAATTATCCTACCTCTACAGCCTTGCCACTGCCCATTCACATCACCACTACCATCAACCACCGATTAATCTTTTTTTCCACCTATCATGGCTCACTATCACTCCTACAAACGCCGTTAATATTGTTGTTGCTGGCCATCACACCATGTTTAACTAGTTTACCTCAAAATAAAAAAATTAAATTTTATTTTCTTGTATTTAAGAAAGCGATTAAATAAATTTAGGTATTTTTGCACATATACAAAAGATTTGAAATTAAAAAAAATTAATTTCATTTTTTAGTATTTTATTTTTAAATTTCAATTTCGCTGCTATACAGTATCTTTGGATGGTCGTTTAGCCAAACTTAAACGTTAAATATTCTAAATGATTTGACAGACTAAACCTCCGAATAGATCATAAGGCTTAATAATTAAACAAACTTATTGGATAAAAAATCATCCTAAAATCAAGGAGATAAGTCAAAACTTTTTGTTTAGAAGGACTAAAGTAAATTTAGCCAAAAAGAGTTCGTTTTTGGTAAAAAGATAATTAACGCAAGTGTTTTAAAATTCTAGTAAGAAAACAAATAATAAATCTATATTCAGTCATTCTTATATTTATTTGCATTATTTCTATATTTTTTTGTGAGCTATATTAATAAGATCCTAGTGTATAATTGATCAGAACTAAATTAAAGGCATTTTTATTGGCCTGAAATATATAGGAACCCCCCTTTTTTTTTTATCCCCCACAACTTCCACAGACACATATATAGGGTAGAAAAAAATAAAAAGTTACCAATACAATGCATTGGGGTGGTGGGGTTCCAAAAAGATGGTCCCAATCTTTTTCTTTATTAGCTAGCATAACTTATGTATACCTCCTCTCGGAGGGTGTTAATTCGGCACTTGGAGGACCCCCCCCCTAATCATAATAAATTGTATTTACATCCATACCCTTAAACGATAAATTAATCTTCCAATACTAACTGCTAAAAACCTTTGACTGCAACCCTCTTTAGATATTTTCATCAAATGCTCCAGGCAAACAAACTTAAAATAACAATTGGGAACACTTGTTTTGTGGTAATGTGGATCACACAACTTCAATTAACTGCTGTACATTGCAAAATGGGTAAATTCTCTACCAAGTCGAAGGTTAGCACGGAGACCCTAGGCTTAGGCATTGTCCTGAAAATCCCGCCGGTTGAATTGGTGGCACTATCCTTCGCAGGTGCTGAGGCCACTTAGCTTGCAATGTATTTGTGCTTGTCTCCATGGCCCATGGCATCTTCTATCTTTTTCATGCATTTTCTTAGCTGATGAACACAATATCTTAATTAGGGCTTGTAACCTTTCAGCTTTAGCCAAAAACAGATCAAGCAACCGAACTAGTTAATCGATTGTATTCTTCATTAGCTCTGGCCATCTCAAACTCGGCCCTAAAATTCAACTCAATAACCACTCTAACTTCCTTTTTCTTTGAGTTAGAGCTATCAACACTTCCAAATAAGTGTGCTCCCCTGGAAAAAAATTAAAAATGACAATCGATTTTAGTAACACAACATAGATGGAGAGAAACGAGCGCCATATATCATCTTCAAAATAATTAGAAGGTTGACATGTAAGTGATTATGTACCTTGGGGATATCTGGTGAGCTCCTCCACTTGGATTTGCAAACGGCACAGTTGTAACCAGCCGTTCGAAGGCAGTCAGAAATTTTTCTTTGCAGGCAATTCCGACAACCACGGCCACTGGTCTTGGACAAGCACAATCATTACGCCCAAATTTAATTCCCTCAGAGCTTCTTTTGTGGCATGCCTGATTTTTGTTTCAATTGAAGTTTGTCCTACACAAGGTTGCCTGCAAAAAATGGACCATATGTTAATTCAACATTTAACAACTTTATATGGGCCTACGAAAAAGTAAATTGCCTCAAAAGTACCCTTTTTCCCAACATGAAAATCAAAATTAAATTACCTGGAGAAGTTGGTCTTTGGATTCCAAAAAGCCTTGTCCTCCTCAACACTTTTTAACATTACATCCACCAGCTCATCATCATCGCAACCATGTCGTCTACGCCACCATAATTGCTACTTTTGCTGAATTGCAAAGCTACCCGACGACAACTCATGGCCTTCTTCCAAAAACCCGAAATCAAGTCGGCAAGAACTTTCTTGTCTGCCGGAATATTTACAATCTCATCTGAATTGCGTCGGTAATCGGAATTTTCACCATTGCTCTTGCCATGGACTCTGCTATTGTTAGACCTCTACCACAACAACCCGTGTCTTCAGTGCTTTTTTTTTGGTTTGTTTGGTGAATCATTAGTTGATGTTTAGACTTATTTATAGTATAAGATTGGCCCATGATGAGTCAGACGCGGAGAAAGAGTTGCGGCGAACCTGGCAAGCTGATCTAGGTTACGTGGCATAAAACGACTGTAAAACTAAAAATAGAATAGAAAAAGAGATTGGATCAGACAGATGGATACCTACCGAGTCAGCCTAGCAATCATGTATGTGCTGAAGAAGATTTTATGGAGGATATTACTCGAATATACACTAGTACATGTATTTTTAACATATTTTAAAGTTCATTTGATTGAATTAAAAATTGCAAAAGTGATTATTCCTCATCATATCTTATCCTAATCAGCTTCGTGGTGGGTACAACTCATTGCTAAAATAAAAAATAAAAACTCATTGCAATCATGCAGCGTTGTAATTTTGAATTCTTTCCAAAAAAATAGGACTTCTATATTATTTTTTTACTCTTATGTTATGTTATGTTTCGTCTATTGAAATGAAATAATTATTTCATTCTATATTTATTTTCACATTTGGTTC